CAGGTTTTCGTTTTCTATTTCCCTGCAATGTAACTTCTTTATTCTTAATTCAAATCAAGTGATAACCCAAATTTTGATGATGTCAGCTATGGTTACAATAATAATACAGCTTGATGACTTCTATACAGAGTGCAAATGTGCGTCACAATAACTGAGGCGGTTAAAAGTAGTTAGTAAGTAATTATTTCAAATATTCCACTAAAAAGGTTTGAGAATTTGAAAAAAACGGTAACATGAGCTTAATTAGGCAAATTGTGCCAAATACCAGCCAAAAAGGTAATTTTTAATGTCCAATCTAAGGGAGGGGGGCTCACTGAAAAGGTAGGGCCTCTGATATTTGACAATGGAGAAGTAGTAGCCTGTGAGATGGATATAGCAGTGCGATTTAAGGAATACTTCCAAAGCGTACATAAGATAGATCAATTCGTGACTGCACAACCTGATCTCCGCACCACTGGATCGGATATCCCCGAATTACACGTGAGGCTGGAGCAGGTGCTCAGGACTCTTAGTGAGCTTGATGCCACCAAACACGCCGGAACAGATGGCATCCAACCAGCCTTAAATAAACAGGTAGCTGAGGATCTAGGGTTCTGGCGTGACATTCCAACTATTAGGATTTCTAAAAATGACCGATTTTTAAATGTATTTCAGAAATATTGACGTCGAATTCACCCGAAATGGAATCGATTATGCGTTTAGCTGAATCTGAGTGTCTTATTAAAATGTTATTCGCTTTAATTAACCTTGATTGACTTTGTCCGGAAAGTATAAATACCGCAACCTAATGGCAACGATCACTTCCACGCTTATACCAACCATGGATCATGTTCACCATACGGTCGTTTTTGAACGAATTGTTATGGATCGCTGGACGGATTCCTGGACGACTTCCGTGAATTTATGAGGGATACCTGCACTTCCTTCTACGTTTGTGCATCAATGACATCGGAACAACTGATACAGAAGGAAACGTTTAGTAGGAAACTGACCCTACCTGAGGGTTTTCCGTAATATTTCATCAAGTATAGCTTTGTGCATCACAGAAGGCGAGGTGCAACTCCAACCAGGTAATTATGGCCCTCATTTCTGATGTATTTAACCCGTTTTAGGCTGCAAAATATCGATTGTCCGGCATTGGATGGAATTCGCGCGGTCAGTAGGAAGTACCGAAAGATGAAACGTTGTCTGGTGCACAACCGTGACTTCCACAGAGGTCAGCGGGATCTGTATAAAAGTAATCGTCGTCTATCTGGAGAATAAGAAGATGAAGTGTGTACTTTGAACAATGTCAGAAGTACTCGCGAGCTAAGGGATTTCGCCAAACACAGGTTTAAGAGACTCTGAACTACGGCAGATATTAGATCCATACGTTGAAGATGGTCTCAGATGGAATAACATGGCGTGTGGTAGGTGTGGGGTGAATAATGAACATTGGGTGCGTCACGCAAGGGTTTCATTGATCGCCGATGGAATAACAGGAGTATCCGCATTTGTGGCAGCACACAAATCGTTACTTTGCTCACAGATTTTTCGAGCCTCAGCAAACGTGATATCTTTCTTTTCCAACATCTTACGTTGTAATGAGATGTTGCTGATTCCAGGAATGAGACTATCACAAAAATGTTCTTCCAATTGGTCACCATACTTGCATTTTGACGCCTGTTTGTTCAACTGGAGAATGAATTCAAGGCACGTTATGTTGGCAGCTCTGATCATTGAGTTGAATTTGGCGAGTTCAGTGGCCTAAAAATCCACTGAGAGAATGTGGTCCACTAATAGCGATTTCAACTTCTCGAAGAGCAATTCAGCAGGAACATTCGGGAACGATAGATTCTCCACCAGGGAATACAGCTTTCGGCCACCCAACGTCAAAAATAGGACCAACTGATTTTGCATTCCTCCCTTCCGGATGATGCACCATAATTCGAATCGTTCTATTTTTTACCTCATTGATGCACTTGAAGTACTGCGTGCAGCCTTGGGCACCCCTTCTCAAAAAGGATGCAGCCTGTTTAGAGGAAGTTCAAAGACTGGCCACCCGAATGATTGAAGGCCAGAAAGGTAAGTCATACCAAGACAGGCTAAAAGACTTGAGACTCTTTTCGCTAGAAAGGAGGAGACTAAGGAGAGACTTACTGGAGACCTTTAATATTGTAAAAGGGCTCTCGGAAGTAAGGAAAAAGAGCATGTTCCAAGAGGCGACCCACCAAGGAACTAGAGGGAATGGGTATAAACTACATAAGCAGCATTGCAACCTGGTTGTTAGATCCAGCTTCTTCAGCAACAGAATAGTGAACAGTTGGAACCGGTTGCCAAAGGAATTANGTAGAATTAGGAAGCATGACTGCATTTAAGCGCGCCCTGGATGAGCGATGGTTAGAGCTCTTTCCAGAGTAGTATCTTTATTGTAATATGGAACACCTTCATGACTCATGTCCCTTGTTCGCCGATGAGGTGAAAAGAGACGAGCTTTTTCTTTTCCCTTTCAGCAAGGACGCTGTACTGAAGGCAATTCGCAGTGGTGGGTGCAAACCTTGTGAGCATACTGCCAACAGAATTCTGGACGCTCGATTAGCCGTGGCCATTATCAGTCCTGTGCAACCTGACCTGACCTGAGGCGGAGACAATTTGGACGAGAGGGAAACGGGCTTAACTACAATATAGAACACTCACAGTGGTAGGGACCAAGATGTGGCTTACTACCGAAGGAACTCTGGACGCTCTATTGGCGGTGGCCATTTCCTCTTCTGT